TGGGCGTGGTTTGAATACAACTCCGTTTTGTACATTTTGTAGTTCCTCAATGATTGTTTGGTTTTGTTGCATCCATAGTTTGACTCCTTCCAATTATTGTGTTTCTTGTTAAAAACCTTATACTGAGCTCCCCAAGCAAAATTCAGACAAAAGTCGTGGTAAACTTCGATTCCTTCTTCTGTTGTTATCTTGTTGACATGTGGTAAATCGAATAATATTTGGCCGTTCTTGATGTTAAGTTTAAGTTTGAATAAATATTTTATATACTTGAGTCCAACATCAACCCATCACAACAATACCCCTTAGTAAGTCTAATCGTATCTCCATGTCTTTGAGTACTAACATAATTCGATTGGTCATTTTTTCAGCATTTTTGACTCCCAAAAATGCACCCACTTTTATTTTTACAACTTTTTTGTTGTTTTGCCAATAGACGCCATTTTCCTTTGAATGGTTTTACCAGAAATATTCATATTCAGTACCTTTTCTGAAACATTACAACACATTAATACAATCTTTATCAGACTCAACATAAAAGCGCATTGATTACAACTCGAATTCATTGCAGAAAAAACGACCAATAGATATACGATATTTTTTTTATAAAGTTTTGCAGCTGTATCTTTTTTTGAAAAAGAAGCCAACTTTTTACCCAACAAAAGTTGAGCTTCTTTATTTATACCATTTGACATGTATAAAGAAAACTGTGACTTTTTGTGTTTTTTTGTAATAATATATTTATAGTTTCAAAAATATGTGTATCATGTTGAATTGTTTTGAAATTTTGTTTTATTTTTGCTTTTTTAAGTTTTTTGTTTAATTCTTCATAAGCAAAATCGTCTGGATCAAAATATATTTCCTCATAATCCTCATTCAGATTGTACAATATGGAGCTTCTTTATATTCTATTACTTTTTATCAATATTTACATTATCTTGAACATCATTTATCGCTTCATTATTTAGATTAGACTCTATTTGTATTATATGTTCATTGTACTGTATATTTTCAATTGGTATATTCGAAGAATTACAATCATTTTAAATTGTATTAAGAAAATCGTTCAAAAGTTGATTTGGATTACCTTCAATTGATTTAAAATGCAATTTAAGTCTTTTTTAATTCGATGTTTTTAAATTTGTCACATTTGATATAAAGAGTTTTGACTGCATGATAATTGACAACTTTAAAGTTGTTAATAAAAACTTTCTTTTTGAAGTCACCTTCAAAACCAACATCTTGATCTTGTTTATTTTTTTGGTGTTTGCTTTTGAAGTGGTATTTGTAATTTTGAGAACTACTCAATTCGAAACAAATTGGACAAAAATGATAATTATCAATTTCTGTATCTGAAAAGATGTGTTGAGATGGTTTAAAAGTATGATAATTAGTGAATTCTACAACTCAACTATCAAAACCTTTTTAATCATTAAAACGTTTTTTTGTATGTTTTTTTATATTTAATAAAATATTTCATAGGGAAAGACGCTTCAATTGATGTTCCTCATTTATAACAAAAATTTTTAATTAGAGTCCCGTGAAAAATCAATGCGGCGTGAAATGTTACTGCGAATTGTTATTGGGCCAAAAATAATGTTATTGTCGTTTATAAAACATAAAAAATAATTTACTTTGTAAAAATGTTATATAATATGGCTATCAATAAAAACAAGGGTAAATTCGTAAAAACGAACATTCCAAACAACTCAAACTAGATATTGGTTTTTATTTTATAGTTTTTAACAATTTATAACATAAAATACTAAACAATACATCAAAATATAATAGCAAAAACAAATAAGTTTTAACATCAAAAATTTGAATAAATAGTCCACCTTTTGGACATTATTATATGAAATTTGATGTCCGCTCAGCTAGTGGTTAATTTTTGTTGGGAATATTGAAATTATTAACTCCAATTGAATAAACTCAAATTACCATTATTATCAATAAATTTAAACATAATCATTATATAAAAACACACAGAAATATCGACTCGAATTATAAAGATCGAATAAACGTTTCAACTTCGGATTTATTATAACAACACAAATTGCAATACAATAAACATAAACAAAATACAAAAACACGTATTAAACATATCATATTGATAAATTTATAAAATATAAATCAATTTAACGATAACAAACTGTTAACGAGCGTGGGGTTTTCAAATGGTCGATAATTTAATCACGCCAATTTAAAATCTTAATAATTTGTTGAAATGAAAGAATTAAGTGTTTGGGGTTCTGGTGTATCAACCCTTTTAAAATAATAGTAATTTATAATAAAATTATCCATAATTAATTGACTAGTTTAATTATATGATAATAATTATTAAAAAATAGTTTCACATTTAAAAATAAATATAATTTATTGTTATTTTATTATAAATTTTTGCTGTTGATGTTAATTAAAAATACACGTTAATTAACTATTTCACTTGTTTGTTGTTTATTATATTTTAATTATATTTATATTATAATAGTAGTTCATTGTTTGATTTTTTTAATGTGAATTGTGATTGTATTTTCACATCATTTTACAATCAAAATAGACAGTGGTCATACAACCAACATGTCAAGTATTTACTAAACGATTTCGATATTACAGATGTTGTTATTAAATACACGGTTATATTGTTTATTGATTTTGTTTTAAACTATTTTTTGTGTCACGGTGTGACGGTTTAGATTCTTTCTTGAATTTTTTAATCAAAAAATCAACGACTTTCATAAAACACAAACAAGACATTGAGTAACGTTTTTTCAAATAACAAATCATTGTGAAAGCAACTAAGGAATTCATTTTATACATCAGAATGAAATTATATTGTTAATTTTTTATTTTGTAAATAAAATGATAAGAACGATTTTTTATTTATAATTTTTAATCTTCAAAAATAATACATTATTTTAAACTTTATTGTTTAAATGTGTTCATATTTTGTCAGAGATATGTACTGTCCAATAAAATTATATTTTTTAAATTGATGTAACGGGTAAATCAATATCAATTATTGGTACATTTGTTCACATTTTAAAAATATCAAAACACATTTTTACTTGATAAAATAATTTTTGGATATGTGAAACTATAATTTAGAATTTGTCTTTTTGTAATAACAAAAATATTTATAAGTTTTGTTTTTCAATTGAAAAAGGAAAAAACAAAACCATCATAAAAAGTATATAAAAAAGCCATTTTTCCTCTTGGCACAATCTGTTGACTTAGCATCAAAAGATTTTGTAGAACAAAATTGTCGTTTTTCATTTTAACAGCCTCAAATAACAAAAAAATAAACCCAAAATATTTTAAAACCCTTAATAACATTATTTTTGCCCAATAACAATTCGCAGTAACATTTCACGCCGCAGTGATTTTTCACGGTTCTCTACATCCGATATTCACATTCAATTATAGTTATTTTTGTCCACTAGATAACTTTTAAAAACTGAATCTAATAAATAATAAAATTTTTTATAAACAAATTAAACAAATTTGTTTTTTATTAACACTTCAAAAAACATTGATTAAAATCCAAGTGGTATAAAAATGAGAAATCTCGAGTTTATTAAATAAATTTCCATTTTTTTAGAGTTTATTTTATGAGCATAAACAATACACAAGCCAAAAAAGGAAAATCATTAAAATTTGATTGATATCTCTATAAAAACAGGCCAAAACAAAAATAGGGGTGTTATTTAGTGTCAACAGAGTGTCCAAAAAACGTCTAAGTCCCAAGTTAAGGAAAGGTCAAAAAATTTGTTTTGAAATAATTGATTTTTTTTCTTTTTGGTTTAATTTATTTTTATGAATGAAAATCTATGATGGCTTGGTAAACAATTAATAAATATGTTATTTAAAACAATAAAATTGTACTTAAACAACTTAATTAACAAAAAATAACACTGTTAAGTGTCGTTTTTGTGTGTATGAGTGCGTCAATTATATCGACCCTGTTTAAAAAGACTGGGTCGATTATATATATAAAGGCGAGTCGTCTTGCCTTCATATATACGTAACTAATGTTATTATTTAAAATCGATTCTCGGTATTTTAAAATGAGTAGAAACGAGACTCATTTTAACCGAGAAATTGAGTCTCATTTGTTCAGGAAGTATTCTTTTAATTTTTTAGATTATTATGTGTGTTTTACATTTTTTTGTTCTTGTAGAGAACAGTAAAATAACGGGAAATTTGATAAATTACAAATCTGGTTTTAATGATAGTTCTAACTTTTCTCTTAAATTTTATCAATAAAATATTATATTTTTGATTTAATTGCTTGGATTTTTCGGGAAATTTCGTAAATGTGTTCATTTTTTTACATGTTTTATTATTGTTTTTGTGAATTGAATAATGTGCTTGAAATTGCTAAAGTTTTCAATTTTATAATCAAATAATTAATAGTGTTTAATTTAATTTTTCGGGAAAAAAATAAGAAAAATTTATGTTCAATTTGATTGTAAATTTTCGGGATAAATTAATGTTATTTTTGTCTCCTTTAAAATTCAATTATTTTTTGATCAAATCGATCAAAAATCCAATTTTTTTGTTATTTTTACTCCAAAATCCTTAACTTGGGACTTAAGTGCATTTTTTTTGGACACTCTGGTGTCAACGAAACTTTTTTATTTTTTTCGAAGAAAAACGCGAAAATTGTAATTCAAAGATTTTGTTGATTGATATAATATTAAATTGTCGTTAATTTGAAATTTAACTAAACATTTTGTTCTTTAAAATTCTTGTCGATATTTTATTCGAACTTTTTAACTTAACTGTAACGAAAACTTTTATTAATAAATAATATATTTAGACTGAAAAAATAACAAATCAATAATAAGAATATCACTAGATATCATGAATTTAAATTTTTACTAATTGTTTTATTGATAGTATTAACGTTTTCAAGAGATATATATGTAGACAACACAATGGGTAGTGATTTGAACTCGGGAGATTCAAAAATTCATCCCTTTGAATCTCTTGAAAAAGCGATGTCATCAATGACATCAAGTGAAATAATAGAGCCAGTGACTGTTTATATAAAATCGGGGTATTATCCACTTATTAACAATTCACTTAAATTCACAAAATGGTCATTTAAAAACAGTACAATACCGCGCCCAATCACTATAACGAAATACCCCAATGAAAACCCACCTGTTATCACAGGTGGAGACAAAATTCCAATATCTTCATTTCGTTCTTTGAACTTGGAAACCGACAAAGCACAATATGAAAAAATCCAAAGTTCAAAAAGAAACTACATTAAAGTGTGTGATTTGGATAAGTTGTATAACCGAATCGACTTAGGAATTTTCGAAGCAGATTCGAATGCTGAAATTTATGTCGACGACAAGCGGTTCCGTGTAGCTCGATATCCAAATTATGAGTACACAGACACATCACATCAAACTGAGAGAATATTCATATTACCACCAACTGACACTTCAATTCAACTCACACCAAATGTGACTGGATATTATATCCTAGAAAAGAAGTTCTTTGTGGCAATGAGACGACTTTTAAAAGTGAGCAGAGTGTAATTGGGAAGTACTATTATCTCTATAAGAACGATTCCAGTTACTAGACACTATCAACACACTTTGATTGTGGTGTCCCGACACAGAGTGACGGTGCTTATTTCACGGTCAAGCGAACTGCGATGGCGGGAGAAGTCAAAGCTGTCGAAGAGTCTGGCGCAAAGGGGAATCCTGTGCTTCAGCAGCCAAATTACATTTACAGAGGAAATATGTGGACTGATTATGCACCAGAAAAGATGGGGAAAACTTTTTATTATGCTAACGATAAATTGGATGAATACGCAAAATACGACTCTGTGTGGATGAGAAGGTATTGGTTCATCTTTTCACAAGACCAAGCAGTCAAAGGAAAGATTGATAAAAACAAAAGAACAGTAACATTTGATAGAGCTTTGGGTGGTGGAGACTTTGAGGGGATGATCAGTGGAATGCCATTCTATATATATATAACTTGATAGAAGAGTTAGATGAAGAGGGTGAGTACTATATTGATTATGAAGAAAAGAAATTGTATATCTACTTGCCGACTACTGTGAATAAAGTGTGGATCTCACAAAGCACGTCTTTGTTAATAAATGTGCACACTTTTAATAATTTGACTATTCAAAATATCATTTTTGAATATACAGTCAAAGTCGCTTATTTGTGGGTTTTCTTGCATAAAAAGCTGTCTATTTGTAGGTTTTGCTAAGAATTGGGAAGAACATTATTTGATTTATTATAATTATCAAAAATAATAAAAATAACCATAATAGTAGTTTTTAGTCTTTTAATAAAGTCTGTTTGTAAATTGTTGTTTGCTTGACAAAATAAATACACAAAATAAGCCTTAAAAAATAGAAATTAAAAAAAAGTTAGAAAACTAAATAAAATTAAATAATAGTGTTTTTGGAGATTTTTCAACAGTTTCCCGTAATATTCCAGTTTTAATGGTCCAAAAATTTACTATTACCGTTTTAAGACTGATAATATAATTACAGATATGAGATTAAAGTTTCGACGAATACTAAGGTTTCGTTTAATTATTTGAATACTATTTGAATAATATTGAACAAGGTTCTTAATTATTTTCAAAAAATCGTCCAAATATAACTCTTATATTTAATTTATACAATGGTATCATAATTATTAATTATTAGTCGAAACCTAAGTACCACATATGTAATTATCAATCAAAAAATTATTATTAATTATAGTATTTTTTTAATAAAATATAAAAAACAATTATTAAATATTGAAACCATTTTAACAAAAACTTAAAATAATTAGATTAAATAAGTTAAAAAATACAAAAGAAGTCTTATTCCATTTGAGTTTATGTTTCAGATACACTCAAAAATATAGTTTTTAATTGATTCCAATTAATTATTCAGTTTCGAGAAGATACAACCTATTTGTATGTTTTGGTTTGGATTGGTCAGTTAACCCACAAATAAGCAAAACCTACAAATAAGCAACTTTGACTGTACACGAAAAACTATGATGAGCTTTTATTTATCAAATGATATTCTCATCATAAATTGCATTTTCAGACACTCGGGGTTAATGGGAATTTATTTATCAGGTAACCAGTCAACAATTACTTATAACATTTTTTATGATATGGGGTCGGAGGCAGTTTATATGAGATGCGGTTTGTTTTAAGTAATTATTAATAAAAATATTATAACTATTTTACTATAATTATATACTATAATTATTATATATATAGTCAGCGAAAAAACCACTTGTGGAATAAAACCACTTGTATTTCTTGAGTGTTTTTAATAATAAAATGTTATTTTTTTACATTTTTTGTTTTTTGAAAAAAATAAAAAAAAGAAAAAAGCACACCAAAATTTAGAGTTGCCATTGCTCTTTTAAACTGAAACAGCCAATAAAACGAAAATTATTTTCTTAATAAAAAATACTGAAAAGTAATTAAAGTGTTTTAATAATTCAATTATAAAACAATGTTAAAAAGAATATCAACAATTAAAATAAATTCTAATAATTACCATAGTTTACACAAAAGTGTTGTGGATTGTATTAAAAAAATATATACCGACGGCTGAGGAGACAACTCACAAATACTTGATATAATTAAACAGAATTCTAATTGTTCATACAATTTTATTGTTGTCTAACTTGTTGTTCTGTTGGTTATTTAAAACCGAATTATAAACAAATGAAACCAAGCTTACATGTAAAAACAAACTATGATACGAACATCGATCAACAAACACTCAACAACAACACCAATTGTCCTACAATAATTTACAGATTAATAGTTCTGTAATGATTATTTTACTATGTATTATTGGTTTTATATGTAAGAATTAATAAAAACTATATTATTATTATTATTATTATTATTATTATTATTATTATTATTATTATTATTATTATTATTATTATTATTATTATTATTATTATTATTATTATTATTATTATTATTATTATTATTATTATTATTATTATTTGTCTATTAACCCTAACTATATTCACACGAAAAATACTATTTATTAACTATTAACTATTATAATCATTTTGTTTAAGTAATTTATAGTAAAAATATGATTATAAAAACGGATCTTTAATTTTAGTTTATTGGTAGTGTTTTATCATCATTTTTAATGGTTTTTTGGTTTTTTATTCTAATTAATTATTGTTTAATTGATTATTGTCACTCAAAACAACATTTCATAATTTTATTGTTAATATCTTTAAATTTACAACAGATGTTGTTTACATTTAAAAATATCACGTTTTATTTTTTGTTCTTTTTTCTATTAGAATTGTTGTGATTAACAGTGATATATTTTATTTTATTTATACATTTGTTTGATTATTTATCATAACAAAACTTCACGTGGTTTTTAGTTATTTTAACCAGTAAATATATGATATTTTTATTCATATTTTTTATTGTATGTTAACACAGTGAAAACAACAAGTCGTTAAGAATAACCATTTATGGGAACATTTTAAAAAATAAACATAATATGTCTAATACTGCTTTTATTTACACATTTTCTGACAAAATATACATAATAATTGTTTATATACTATACTATAAGTAAACTTTTTAATCCTTAGAGGACGGGAAAAATCAAAATTTGTAAAAAAAATCTTAGTCAATTGTAATGTAAATGTGACCTTTTTTCTTTAATTTTTTTAAAGCCAGACACCCTGGAACGACGGCTCTAGTATATTTTTAAAGTAAAGTGTTATTAATTATAAACTTTACGATAAAAAGTAAAAAAGTGTTTTTTTGTTGAAGTGGGGATGAACAAAGGTTCACTTTATTGTTCGATCTTTTCCGAAACAAGTCACAGTTCAAAGGAAAAGTCAGATCAAAAATTTATTGAGATGACCACAACCTATTACAATAATAAAATTAATTATAAAATATAACAAAGAGCTGATTACATCATAAAACATACTGGTCTGAAATATTCAAAATCAATTGCATCATAAAATAACAAAGGAAAGAAAATCAATAACAGACTTTGAATTGTCTTGAAATTTCAATTGATCTCAAAAACAATAACAAGGGAAAATAAATAGATTTTTTGTAAACTTTGAAAAATACAAAAATTTAAAAAATTGGGTTTTGCTATTTTTTATATAAAGAAATAAAATAAGACAAAAAGACACTTTTGTTTGTTCCGACTTTGAAAAATATATCTTAAAGAAAATAAGTGTAAAATATACAAAAAATAACTAAAATACATTTTCAAAAGTATCAAAAATCGCAAAATCAAGAAAAATTTATAAAATCAACTTTAACAATAAAAATAATAGCGTTTGTATAAACTTTGATCACCACGAGGTTTTGTGATCATCTATTGAAATTCACGTCGTGCCACTGTCGAGGAAGCAAGGTATAAATTCATTGTTTGTAATTTGAATATTTTAACATTTTCAAACAAAAACAAAAAACAAAACGTGTTTTATGCAATCTATTTAGAATATAAAGATTTGTATTTGGTAAACAATTGTTTATTTTGCAGCCATTGTTTATTCATTTTCAAATTATGCATTTTTGGGCAACAAACAAAAAAATTATAGTAAATGTATAGAGATAATGAAAAACAAAGAAAAACACAAGTGTAAAGACATCATGATATTTACCAACGTTAACACTTTAAACTATAATTTATAATAAAATAAATTAATATATTATTAATAATTTATCATGTTATTTATAATAGTTTTATAATTATAATTGTTATATATAATAGTAACAATCAACAGACATAATTTTGACACAATAACACATCAACAACCACATTTTTATTACAACGCGATTTCATCGAAGTGATAAGTGATCACATTGATATAACAATGTTGTGTAATTAAAACTATATTGTATTTTATGCATAATTATTATTATAACAAAAAATGGTATAATGATTCTTATTTGTATTATTATCATTATAGAAAATACATAATGTTTATATACTTGATGTAGTTGTTATATAGATAACAATTTAAATTATTTGGATGTTAAAATTGATTACAAACTATATTATTAATATTATTTAACCATTAATAATATAAAGTTTATAATAATAATATAATAATATTTTTTAAATGACAATAATGGTAAAATAATGTTATTAAAATAGATCAAATAACAAAAATATTAAAATAATTTTTGTTTTAAAACGGATAATTTTAAATATATTTCAATCAACAACTATCTGTTATTCCACGACAATAAATCAATAAGAAATAGACAAACAATTGTTACTTATTATATTATTAACAGTTTTAGTTAAAAATATTAGATAAATTTTAATGTATTGTTTATTCGATTAATTTTGTAACGAATTGTGTTTTATGTTTTAAATAAAAGTTTTTGTTAAATTTTTTAAAAATAATACAGTAAGGTTACCCCGTTTTGTTAAAAACTTTTCTTCATGCAAGACATTTATAGTTAATTTTAATCAATAATTACCTTTTTAACAAATTAGATGCAAAGAACATTTTGGTGTTTTAGTTATAGATTGCTAAACAATAAAATGGTTTAAATAAATTAAAAGTACTAATTAAATCTTACATAAAACAACGTCACTTGCTACAAAACAAAAAAAGTTTATGATAAAACAAAGAAAATACTTGACATAAATATGAATAAACACGATAACAGAGTTGGTATTTTTCAAGATTTGTGATGAATAGATTTATAGTTCAATTAGTACAATTTTAAACAACAATGTGCAAAACCAATTTATAATCAAAAAATCATTTTTTAATCCTTATATCATGAAAAACAATTGAATTTCTAATAAATATCGTAAATCAACATTAAATAATTGTGTGAAATAACACACAAATTTCTTGTTATATTTAAAATAAAAATTCAAAAAATAAATAATTACTTATTACTATAAATAACTTTGCCGCCTTGCATTTGATTTGACGAAAAAAATGCAAAAATCTGTTTCATCATCAGAACTCGAAAAATAAAACAAATTTTCAAACAGTGAAGTTATTACCATTGGAAACGAGAGATTCAGATGTCCAGAAGCACTCTTCCAGCCATCATTCCTTGTTATGGAAGCATCAGGTATCCACGAGACAACTTACAACTCAATCATGAAGTGCGATGTCAACATCAGAAACAATTTGTATGAAAACAGCGTTTTTTTTTCAAATGGAACATCAAAGTACTCAAGCATTAAACCAATGGCTTAAAATGGAGGTGGTTGCAAATGAGAAACATATATACATGAGGAGGCTTTTTATGCTTGGCTCAATTTAATTATATTCATATTGGTGTTTATTTGGTTTAGTTTTTATAATTATTGTTATAATCAATCATAATATATATAATAAAATTACTATCAGTTATATTATTCAAAGGTTGATTTATTATAGTTTATTTATAATTAAAATTACTATTCAATTTATTATTCTTTTGTCACGCATTGTATAATGTATCCAAAATAGCTATTTTTCTCGACTTAAATTGATGTTTTATAGCGTTGTTTTACCATATAAGATAATTATTTTAATGTTATTGTTGTGTTAGTACAATAACACATAGAATTAAAAGTAAGCAGTGGGTTTTTATCGTAATATTTTGTTGTTATTTGGTTTTCCAAGTATTTTTAGTTTGAGTGGAATCCATTTTTATATTTCAACAATAATATTTTTGTTATGTTATAATTTATTTTATTTTGGTTTGAACCAATCTTATTGGTTATATCAAACCTACAATCTTGCACACTTTTTAAGTGTTTTTTATTTTGTTATTTAAAAAACTTGAATATCTGATAATATTATATAATTATTTTTATTAACATTTTTATTTGTTTATGAAAACAGTTTATTTTCTTATTATTTTTATTACTGATATTAATTTGTTAAATTATATATTTTATTGATTGAAGGACGAATCTTTAACAAAAACCAATTAATTTGAGTTTATGAATGATGAAATGTTTTATAAATAATTTAAAAGTTTGAATTTAAATTGAACTATTTAATAAAAATAGTCAATAATCGTTCTAAATTGTTCATGAAAAGTCGCCATTATTTTCATTTTTTGGAAAAGTGAAATTATTTTTTAAAATATTTTTATAAAAAAACAAAAAAATAAAAATTTTTAAGTTTTCGAAGGGTTAAATTGTAATAAGATTGTAAATAGTTTTTCGTTTTTTAAATAAAATTGTGTAATAATTTAGTTTTTCACCGTAATATATATACAGTTAACAGAAAAAGTGGGATGCTAATCTTAATATAAATTAATTTAATATTATTAATAATAAATAATTAATAAAAATTTATTTTGTTTTTTTCAATATATTAATTTTTTGATTAATAATTTATATTAAAATTAATAGTAATTTTATTATTTTTCAATTGAAATTAACCAATAGTTACGAGCATCCTTGTTTATCTAGCATCCCCATATTTCCTCATACTGTAATCAATAACTATAATAATCATCTGTCAAAAACATTAACAAAATTGTCTAACAGAAAGGCTAAAAAACCGTTTCTATCTTTGTCACCACTTCCACTTGATTTTATAGATTTAAATAATATTAATATAATAAAATGTATAGTACTGTTTACCATGAAGGCTGAATATGCCTCGTGGAGACTTTTTCTGTTTGAGGTGGTAATTTGTATTATACTTTTTATTATAATGTTATTAGTTATAACTATTAAATTAATGGGAAGCGGTTAAAAAGACTAAAGCTGTTTTATATCCTTTTGTAATTACGTATTTTGTCGTAAATGATAGATAAAACAATAAAACATTTAAATTATTGAACGCATTGGTTTTCCAATTCACAGACCAATTTAGAAGATGTGATCCTTTCGATTTGATTATGTTTCCAACACTTTTCAATAATATCAAAAAGTTGAGTTGGCATGTTATCTTGCTTTTCTAGACGTTTTCCCGATGTTACGAATTCCGCAATTTTCCATGGAAATTTGAAGAATGTTTTTGGGTATGCATTACACCACCCAAGACACTCATACATCATAACACCGAACGAATAAATATCAGCACTCTTTTTGTACTTCTCTTGTTTTAGTATCTCAGGAGCCATATAAGTAGGTGTACCAATACTTTTAGTGAATGTCATGTTCGTCTGTAACAAATTGACGTTTCTCGAACTTCCAAAGTCAGTTAACTTAGCAATTACTTTTTCTGTGATATCCAACGAAAAGACTAAGATATTGTCTGGCTTAATATCTCTGTGTAAAATTCCATTTGTATGTAAATACTCAATTCCCTTTGAAGAGTCCAATAACATTTTGGTTCGCACATTTATATTAACTTCTTCATTCTTTTTGTGTTTCATTAAATCTTGTAAACTGCCAAATTGAGCAAATTCGGTGACCATACAAATTTTACTTGGAACAAATACAGCGCCATAAAAGTGGACGATATACTCACTTCTGAATTTGTCTAACATTGAAACTTCATTTGCAAAGTCTTCAAAACGTTGTTCGTCGTTTTCTGTCATTGAAAAGTTTGTATTGTTTTTTGTGGTATTTTTCGAAGTGTCATTTGTGTTATAATTTGTACTTTCCTGTGTCGCTGTTCCCGAATTAGTTTGTTGTGTATTTGAATTATTCATTTCATTAGTTTTGTTATTTAAATTTGTGTAATTTGCTGTTCCTCCTATTTTGGTTGAGTCGCAATTTTCTACAGAAAATTTCATTCGTTTTATAGCAACCAGATTTCCTCTATAAGTTCCTTTATAAACTGTTCCAAACGTGCCTTCTCCTATTTTCTTATCTTCAATCAATTCGTGATAATCTAGTCGTGTCGATGGCTTTGTGCTTGCTCGTATTTTGATTAGAATGACTTCTTCTTTCCCCTCGTTCACATCAAGACACACACACGCAATTTCATCTTCAATTTTAGACGAAAAATTTGGTGTTATAAACACTTCAAATTCACATGCAAAGTTCTTTTTGAGTGTCACCAATTTAGGTTCTGTTCTAATAGAATATTGGTCGCACCCCTCCTTCACAGTAAATTGAATTTTAATTGGCGTTTTCCCTTTGTTACCAATACACAGCAATTCACGACTCTCTACATTGACATCGATGTCTGTGTCACTCTCTCCAGTAAATTCAAGAACCTTTTTGTTACTACAAATCTTCGTTGAAATATTTGTGAACGTCACATTTGATTTTTTCATGTCGAAAATACAGACTTTGGCTTCTTCTTTTTTCGTCTTTTGTCTCTGGTGTAAATAAATTAACAATAAAATCACTGAAATGGTGCCAAATATGATGACAAAGAAGATAACCAAAATTGGCACTCCAACTTTCAAAAACAAAGTTTTGTCATCGACACAGGACAACCCATCTTCACTCAATTTCTTGTTATTTTCACATTGTGTGCAATAATTATGTGAGGCTTTCACACAAAATTGCACTGTTGTGATGTTTTCGCAAAGTTCACTTTTTAATATGTAATTGTTTTTACAGAGTGTACACGACACATCAGATGTGCATAATTGGCACTCACTGTTGCATTGATAACACCTGTTATTTGCCAAATTCAAGTAATACTCGTCAGCACACGATTTACACCCACTCTTTGTTTTGTCTATACAATTTGTTAAACCATCAAAAGACTGACATAAATACGACTCACTTGGTGTCAAAAAGTAGTTATCAATACATGTCAAACACTTTGAAATTTCAGTGCATGTGGAACACGATGGATCACATTTGACACAATCGTTCTTGTCTTTAAAATACCCATTTTTACATATGGCACATCCAACATCATTTGGCATCGAATTTTGACATCGTGAGCGTAAATCACTGGCTAACTCACACTCATTATTGACATTCAAAAAATACAAATCAGTCGAACATGAAAGGCAGTACGTCGAATTATAACACGTCACACATTTCCCTTCACATGGAAGACACTTGTTGTTTGATAAATAAAACTTTTCGTTGCATTTTACACATCCTTTAGTTGTCATTATTTCGCAATTTGTAAGATCATCATTTTTCATATTTTTGAAATTATTTTGATTCTTTTTATCATATTCATTTATAATTAATTTGGTTGAAGTTTTTAAGTCTTTATTAAATTGGTTATTTAATTTAAAAGTTCTAACTAAAGTGCAACTATTGTCGTAAAGACCATATGTACTTTGACATTCGTAAATCGTTCTAATTGCATTTGATGTCAATATGAGATATTTCTCTCTAAATGTTGATGGTAAGCAATAACCACTATTTTCCGTATTGCTTTTATAATAAGAAGGTATACACTCTTCACATGATACTCCATGAGACCGTTTGCAGTATAGTTGTTCCATTCTAACACAGACATTGTTGTCAATTAAATAATTATTTTCGCACTTTATACACACATTTTTGTTATATAATACGCAATTTTCAATAACATGTTTTGTACAAGAGTTGTTTTTTAAAATGTAATTTGTATCTTTAGAACATTTAACACAATCACTTTGTTCATTTTGAATACAATTAATGTCATTATTACACATTTTGGAATTCAAATTAATAACTGCATTTTTGTCACAAGTTAGTGATACCACAGTCTGTTGACTTAAAATGCACTTTGCGGTGTTTTGGTTGTATTGATTACATAGAGAACATTTATTATTTTCATTAACATATTCATTATCATTACATTTGAATTTTGCATTATTTCTACTATACGAATCAACATCATTTTGTAACACACACTTGTTGTTGTTATATTCGTAATAATCATCACAATTAAAACAAGTACTTTGCATGTTATTGTTATTAAAGTATTTGCAGGATTGCATGTAACTATAGCACTCACCTATAATAGAAAATCCATTATTACATTCTTCACATGATATTTTCGAGTTACTCACACATGTTGAATTGTTAGGTATACATTTACCTTTATTTAAATAATAGTTGTCATTACATTTTAAACACTTATTAACATAAAGTTGTGTGGTACATCCATTGTTATATTGTAAACACGTTTTATTTGTTTGATTATAATAATAATAGTCTATACACAGAGTACAAATACCATTTGATGCCATATAAGGCGGATAACACTCCAAACATGTTACTTTATCTCCTGAATATGCACACATCTTACAATTATCAATTTTGTTATAACAATAGTCGCATTTGCTTATTTCACTTTGATATTTATGAGCAGGACATACACACTTCCCAATTTGTGTTATAAATTCGCCATTACACGTTATACAAATTTCTGAAAGTTGACTACATGTGTTACAATTGTTTATTTCATTACATAAGTGACACGTTTTGTTCTTGGGAAAATAATTTGGTTTACATAGTGTACATCCAATAAAAGTATCACAAAAATCAAATGTGCATGATGTATCACAAGGTAAGCACTTGTTATCATACAAATAAGTTCCGTTATAACATGACGTACAATTTGTGGACTGAGTTTCACATGTTAAACAGTTTGTATCACATAAAACACAAATTCCATCGAGTGAATAATACCCATCATCACATTGTGAACACATAATGGGATATGAATAACACTTTCCAGTCTTACAATTTTCACAAGTATTACAAACTCCATTGAGATAATACCTCTCTCCTTCAACACATGAAGTGCATTTTGTTGCTGATCCCGTGCAATTGTAACACGTCGAATCACATTTTAGACATTTATTAGACTGTAAATAATATTTCTCAGCACATTTATAACATGATAATCCAGTGTTTCCACTACACTCAAGGCACTCTGGCGCACATTTATTACAATATCTACCAGTGTTATTAGAGATAGTATAATATCCTTTATCACACGCATAACAATAAGTCACACGTGAACAGTCGAGACACCCTTCTGAACATTTTTCACACAATCTCGAACTATTCCGGAAAAAATATGGATAACACTCTCTGCAATAATAATAAGTACAAGACATGCAACCGTCTGTACAAGGAACGCAAGTTCTATTATAAGAACTGTATCTTGATTCAAGATAAAATCCATCATAACATCTTGTACAATTTGTTCGATAAGGACCATTGCAACGATAACACTCCGAGTGACATTCATTGCACTCTTTATTTGATAAAAAGTAATGGGTATCACAACTCGTGCAATTTTGGCTTGTTGGACCGTTGCAATTATAACAATCTGCACTACATGCAAAGCACTGAGAATTTAACATATAGTATCTTGAATAACATGTTTTGCAACTTGATGAAGATGAACTCGAGCAAGAATTACACGAAGAATGACACGCAATACAACTTCCACTTGAATAGTAATAATGTGATTTACATGAGGTACATTGATTTGAATTGGGTCCACTGCAATAAAGACACGAAGAATAACAAGAAAGACACGAAGTTCCTGATAGATAGTAATATTGATTGCAAGTAACACAACTTGTGGCAGTAGTACAATAATTACATGGAGATGAACATGAATAACAGTAATTGGGATCTTTTAAATAATACCCATTTTTACATGAATAACACTGGGTATCTAACCCACCGTAACATGTGACGCACCTATAACTACACGAACTACAAGAGCCTGAAGATAAATAATACCCATCATAGCATTTGGTGCATGTTGTATCACTACATGTCACACAATTGGTACAGGAGCCTTTTAAAGTCATTGAAGTGTTATTTAATGTAGTGTTTTTATATAATAATCGACTTAATTCATTTTTATTGCTTTGATGCGATAAAAACGTAAGTTGAAAAGTATTTCGCTGTTTAACATATTGATAACTTGTATTTTTGGTTGAAAAAAATAGAGTGTGTATTAACGTTAAGTTTGTTATAATAACCAATTTTGTTATTTTATTGCAACATACTTTATAATTGTCGTCAATAAGTGGCAACTCAATTTTATTATCCAATGAACTCCACTCGAAAGACACTGGACATTCTTCTTCAATTTCTACACATTGCATCTTATCTGAGTATTTGCACCACTTTATATTCACAATATTGGAATTTACAACAAAAAGTAGAAGTAACAAAATAAACATTTTCATGTTTATTATTATTAGAGTTTTGTTTAAAACAAAGTCAACAAAAATAATTTTTTTGAATCAAATATTGTTTAAGTTGAATTGGTATTACAGTCCCTTAAGCCAGCGTTATGAGAAAAGCTCTCCTTTTCGAATTGTTTATCAAAATAAAGTTAATTTAATTATAATTATTTTATAATTAATAGTTAATTTTTAAAAACAATATTCGGAAGAATTGTTTTGATAAATATGGAACAATTAAAAAAATGTAATGAATATAAATAATAAATTTCTAGTATATATTATAGATATAATGGAAAAACAATCCTAAAATAACACTTTTCTAATAAGTTTAGCCACGATTGACCATTTCCCTGTTAGATTTTTTGTTAATTCCCAAAACTGCATTACAATTTTAAAATTTAAGCAATTATTTATAAAAA